ATTACCCGTAGAGATAGTAGAAGAATGATAGTACATAGAAAACAATCTTTATCCATCCTTCTTTCATTGCACGACTTAATTCGTCGTTGTTCATAATCGTCGTAGGATCATAAAGACCACGCCCAGAAATAAGGGGGCGATTAAGATACCTTAAATTTGAATAGCGAAAAAATTACCTGTTGATGTTATATGCAATCAATGGAATGTTAAAAAGCACTGTCCAAAGTTGTCCAGTAAGTAGGAACAATAGGGTAAAGAAACCATGTATAGAATATTCGGGAATGACAAGCTTTCCTTAAATAAGATGGCTCTGTGCTTACCGGATTTAGACTACGGCACTGGTCGACAGGATTCTTGTAATCGGTTTTAAGCTCTTCAAATGCGATAATCTGACTAATTAACTAAAGTATTTCTTACGTGATATATAGTCAAAAATATGAGCCCTATGCAAAGAATTAAAGCAATTATATTTACAACAGCGATTAGACCAAAAGCCATGTCAATTCCTTGATCCAAAAAGCAACGTAAGAATAAAAATAGAAATCACGACAAAAAATATCAAAGTGAAAGGCAACCGCCAAGACTGTCATCCACCAGAAAGTGGTTGATTATAACTTTTATGCAAATATTCTTCATGCAAAATAACTTTTGTTCGAGATACTAAGTAAAAAATTTAACTATTTCACACATCTAAAATAGGATTTTGAATTTGTTGCAGAGACGTTTGATACTAATCGTTCAGCAAAAATTCAGAAAGACGAATGAAATCGTATGAACATCGTATCAAATCATAAAGTAGATTCTAGAAAGCCAGTTATTATTTTATAACACCTGCGATTTTATGATAAGGCTACCCTTGACGCAGCTATTTATTTTTGAAGAGAACGCATTGGATATTACATTATCTGTTGGTAATATGATTCGAACTCGAAATAACAATAATGCCGTGTCCCTACCTATACTAAATTCCTCATTATAAGAGCAATGTTGGTCGAAAGAATTCGTGAATTTGCCAACCCTGAAAGCAGTGAAGAGTTACCTTGATATGAAGAGTGTTAGATTGTGTGAAGGAGTCCTTGCATTACCGTCCTGCGACACTTTATAAATCCTAGTTAATTTATCGTATACCACATGAGAGATATCATCAGAGAAATAAACCTTTAAATACAAAAAAATGCTCAAATACATTAAACGAAGAAAATATATAAGAAGTAAGTATAATTGCAGAATGTCCTATTTTTATCTAGTATATTGGTGTGCCATTTTGTAAATGTTGTTTCAAGCCCCGAAGATTCCTGATACAGTAGGATAGAAAACTCATGGTCGCAGGATGAGTATCTGAGGACGATTTACAAAATACAACGGTATCCACATAAAAGAAATTCCCCTTATTTTAGGATGAGGCAAGTTTATGAACCATTTCCAACCAATATTAAGTTCGAAATAATAATTCGAATAAAATTAAACTTATTTTATGAGCTATTAATATTTTGAAATAGATTTTGATAATTTGCATTTGTTTCATATATGAGTACGGGCAAATTCAAAGCATTACGAATCAGCGAAAACTACCTCATTTGCGGAGGTCTCTAAATCTCTTCTTTTATCATGTGCCCATAGAAAATGCCAAATAACTTTTTAATTTCAATGTATAGATGTCGTCTGAACTCGATTTCGCAACAACGACGTGGTGTTAGGGCGACTCAGATAAACATACCTTGTCCGGAGTCCTTTGCCACAGGGATTATCATAATTCCAAGCGTCAGTCCGTGAACTTGGTACATTTTCAGACGTTTCGCCAGTATCGTAGTCGGAATCATTAGTGGGTCTTGCCATTCTCAGCACCAATAAGAACTCGTCAAAGAGACGATAGAAGCCAATTTCTTGAGCAATATTTTGCTGAAACGGTTGTCTATTATTTCCTTTTCTGTCCTGGCCCCTAAATTTCGACTTATTTTTAATCGGGCTGCATCTTCAAAAGTTGTTCCCTTTTGGCTAATTTATCATGGAGTCTTCTAACCTGCTGTCCACCTTTCCCCGCTGTCTTTCGATCGGCTAATCTGACTCAGGCCTCCTATTCGAATCCCCCTCATGGCCATGCAGATCTGTTCCCTATCTTTCTGGTTAATTGATTTCATTCGATTACAGTGTACGTTTTATTACATTTGCTTTTTTCAACCTTTTAGAAGTTTGTACACCGTCCTCTCACCGAACAGAGAGAGCGCCTAGGCTCTGATCCCTATGCTTGCAAATGTAATCAATTGCATTCAAGGGTCGTCTAGTTGATTAAGCCCGTATAAGATGAGCAAACTATGAGCAACGATCCTTGGTCTCCTGCTACATCTCTAGTGAGTTTCTAGTACATTTTGAATTTAATGCCGAATTTTTGATGCGATTCTGCTTATCTGTCTGCCTTGCTTCCTGATTGCCAGCCCACCAAAATTTACTGGTTCCTTCGAATATACATCGCCCACTGATAATGTCTTCGTTTGATTTCCAAAAATTCGAATCCCCTTCCTCATGATCTCCTATTCTCTGGTTAATGACAGATTCTTGATCCATGCAACTTCTTTATCCTGGTCTTGCCGTATCTTTGTTTTCATCGGGTTTACTTAAACAATAGACAAAGTTGTCGTTATCTTAGCCTTCTTCTGATCTCCTGATCATTCGATTTTTTCCCAAAGATTTCACTGGCCTTCTAAATCTTACGTTTCCTTGTGATTTTTATCCGTGTGAGGCGATTATTTCAGTTGCTTTCCAGTTAATCTAGTGTCCAGTCTGTGCGATGTGTTTCGCTAATACTGATTCTTTAGTATTTATTATCGAACAGAGCCGTTGATGTTCCTTGATTCGTGTGTTGATTTTTATCTCTGTTTCTCCAATATATTTCTGTCCGCAGTCGCCACATGCTATAGGGTAAATTCCTGAATAATCCAATTTGGCTAACCTTATGTTGCGTGGGTAA